CTGCATTGCTGTAGTACCCTACAAACCCATAGACAATTTCAGCCCAATTTATTGGGAATTGGCATCCTGCAAGTGTCCCACAGGTCACTGTGTGGGGTCACTTGGTTGCTCTTGCAAAGGAAACGGCCCTCAAGGATGCACAGTGCTTATTAGACATCAGAGAAGCTGCATGGGCTTCATTTCCCCTATGAACACAGTAAGGCTTTTCACTGTTCCAGCTCTTATTTGAAACCACAGCAGCTCAGCAGGTCGTGGGGCACTGCTCTGCCTCTGGTAAAGCTGCCAAGCTCCTTCCTGATCCTGCTGGGAGTCGGGTAGGGGCTGATGTGCACTCAGGCCCCCAGGAAAGTGATACCACAGGCTCTCCCCTGCCATCTCTCCCTGAGAGACATGATGGTCTCCTGTCCAGCCTTGGAGAAGGTGAAACTTTGGGGCATGTCATGGGATTTTGCTGCCCTGGTGCCCCAGGGCCATGGTCTGCTGGGGGCTCTGAAATGAGAACTAGGGGAGTGCTGGGCCTTAGATAGGCCAGGGGTATAATCCATCGTTATCATGGGCTCAGCAGCGACCACAGGCTGAGCTCAGCCCTTTGAGAGAGTAGTGAGACAAGCCAGGGAGATGTCTTGCCCACAGATTTCTCCCTGCTTGGGAGCTCTTGGCTGGGTGGGTGTGAACACCTTTCCACACCCCAGTGCCCCCCTTTGCAGTGGGGGATTGCCCAGCTGGCTAAGCTGGACCCATATGTGTAACACATATGAGGCTTGTGGGTGCTGCAGCCATGCAGTGGCTCTCAGATGAGGAGCCTACATGCCCTGTATGGTCAGAGCTATTAAACTCTCTATTACCATCTTCCTGCCTTGTGGCTGCAGGAATTTAATGTTGCAGAAGTTCTTATCTCCTGGGACAGCTCTGTCCCCCAGCAGACATCCCACCATCCCCTGCCTGCTGCCATGGACATGTCCCATGCTGGAGAGGCTGCTGAGTGCTGGGGCCAGTGCAGATTCAGGGCGACTGACTGGGAAGTAAGGTGTAGGCAGGGCGTGGGTGGTTTCCCTGGTGGTGGTTTCCTCCCAGCAAGTGCTGGGCGGATAGCAGTGGTCAACAAGCCTTCCCCCGGCACAATCCCACAGGGACCAGCTCTGTGCATCCTCCCTGCAATGAGACCCTGCAGCACTTGCATTGTTTCCTGCAGAAATGTCCCTCCAAGTAGTGTTTCCCTCCCACTGCATGACCTCAGTGCCCCAAATCCACCCGACTCATCACGATGGCTCCCCAGGAATACCCCTGCTCTGCTGGCGGTGGAGCCTTTGGTGAGCAAAGGATAACTTCCAGTTGTTTCTACTTCCACCTTAGGCAGTCCTGCTTCTGTGCGGGGTTGATGCCCGTGGTGTGTTTGCTAACCTCCTCTATGAGCTCAGCCCTTTTGTCCCCCTGCTTAATTTTTTTCCACAAGGAGAGGGGAGATTACGTTCATCTCCCGTGGAATAAGCTGGTGTCCATCAACTAGTCCCACCTTGCTGGAATCTGCTGGGTGGGGGTAGACCAGCTGTTTACCCCAGCCACTGATTAGTTTGTTGATTAATGAGATGAGTTCACTCTCACCTGGTGTTGGAATACAGAGCATTTTTAGCATCCATTTCGCAAAATGGTGACTTGTCTCGGAAAAGACAAACTGGGATCAGAGTTACTTGGAGCCTGGAAGGGCGTCTGTGTGGAGGGAACTGCAGTTCTCCCAGCATCAAGGTCATGCATGAAATATGAGAAATTACCCTGAGAAATTCAGATCCTGGAGGAGGAGAAGTTCATGACTTCAGAAATACCAGATTTGGGAGGGGATGGAAGGGGAAGGGATATATTTTCCTTTTCGAAATACCTAAGGAATTCAGCCTGTGCTGCGTAGACAATGAGATTTTGCCCCTTGGTGCTGGAAGGAGCAGTTCATACCCATGTGTCTTGTTAAGGTTTTGTTGCCGTGGGTGAAAAGCCCTCCCATCCCACCGCAATCCCAGGCATGTACAGTTTTTAAATCACCCTAAAATCAAGACAGTGGCTCAAATGTGAAATTTAAAGAAAATGCTGCATGTCCTCTATTCTCTGATTTCTATGGCTTTCGGTTGGATTTTGATCACTTTTTCCAGCTGTGAGAGACTATTACATTAACTTTCATGTATAAAAAGTTGTTTATATGTATGTTTATGTATATATTTGTGATTGCACGTAAGTGTATGATGCCAGGAGCAGAGCAGCCTGAGGTTTGTTACAAAACACAAAGGTTGGCAGCTCTGCCACGGCAGCTGCAGGGCGATGGTACGTGCATGTCCGGGGCTGTTCGGTCCCTCCCTCGGGGGTCCCTCACATCAGTGGGGCTGGCAGGGTAGCCTCTGCCCTCCTGGCATCTGCCAAGGATGGGAAACTCTCTTTCCCCTGCAAGAGCATCCCAGCAGCATTTGGGGGGAAGGGCAGGAGCTGCATCAAGGTGGCTTCATGTCAGACACCTGATGCATGTGCCGGAGTGAGATGGGGATTTGGCCTCTGTGGCTGGCAAGCTTTGAGCCTCAGATCCTGTCCTATGTTTTTCCTTGTCACTGTCCCATCTGGCAGACAGAGAAGACAGACAGGAGTGGGCTGCTCCCAGGGACTCTGCTGGGCTCGACTGTCCTTCTGGTGAAGGGACTTGAGCGCAAGTGCTATGAGGAGAGGCTGAGGGAGCTGGGGTTGTTTAGCCTGGAGAAAAGGAGGCTCGGGGTGACGTTACTCCCTGACAGGAGGTTGGAGTCAGGTGGGGGTTGGTCTCTTCTCCCAGGCAACCAGCAGGAGGACAAGGGGGCACAGACTCAAGCTCTGCCAGGGGAGGTTTAGGTTGGGTATTAGGAAGAGATTTTTTATGGACAGAGTAATCAGGCATTGGAATGGGCTGCCTGGGGAGGTGGTGGATTCACCATCCCTGGAGGTTTTCAAAATGAGGCTGGATGTGACACTTAGTGCCATGGTCTGGTAGCAACAGTAGGGTTGGACTCGATGATCTTTGAGGTCTCTTCCAACCTGGTTGATTCTATGATTCTATGGGCTGGTGCAGGATGGGTCTGGCTGCTTGTGGTGGAAATGGCGAAGCTCTGCAGCAGGGAGGGAGGCATAGGGAAGGGCTCAATGTAAAGCTCCTCATGTTCTTTGGCTGTGGTGTGGAGAATGAGCAGCTCAGCCTGCGCTGCATGACCTGCCCTGGCTCGGGCACTCAATCGGCCTCGTGCAAGCAGGGATGTGGGAAGGCATCTCTCCCTGGAGCAGTTTTGCTGCCTGCCACTTCTCGGCCCTGCTGCATGGGACTGTTGCCCACCTGCCCCACAGCTCTGCCTGATGCTGGACCCAAAACCCTGTCTGAGCCCTCAGAAAAGCCCCCAACAGCCCCACGCCCTGGCCTGGCTGCTGGCACAGGATCTGGACATGGTACCTGCCTGCACCCTTGGCTGTCTGCAAGCAAGTGGTGTTTCACTTGCTCTCTGGAGCTCAGTTCCAACAGTGTTTAACCTAGGAGTGACCTGCAGCCTCCTGATGCTGCAGCAGCACAGACAACAACCCTTTTACAATGAAAAAAGGAAATTTTTAATATATGCGTCGAATCTTTCTCCATGTAGATGCTCCCACCTCTTCATCTGGTCTTAAAACCACCAGAAGCAGCAATGCCCTTGAATGCTGCAGGCCCCTGTGTTTCTGTACACACATGGGGGCAAATGTCCCCCCGTGGCTGGAGGGGACACGTCGCTGTGGCTGCCCCTGGGCCCCTGTGTCAGTGGATGTGCTGTCTGTCTGTCTGTCTGCGTGTGCACACGTGTGGGCCCCGGGCATGCACGTGGAGTGTGCGTGTGAGTGGGAAGGTGGGGTTTTTTAGCTCCTCGTTATTATTAGTGGTAGGAGCCCAGTGACAGTGAGGCTGGAGGTGCCCGAGACCTTAAGAA